CTGTGGATGAATGTCCCAGGGAGGCATTTTCAGAGCTAGGAATTGTGTGTTTCCCTTTTGCAGTTGATCTAGCCATGCAAGCCAGCACAATTCCCGAAGGCTTTTCCAGGCAGGGATGCCTGGGGAGGTGCAGGTAGTGCCCCTGAGCTCCTGTGCAGCTGTTGCTGACCCCTAGGGAGCCCTCCAAAAAGGAAACCCGCAGACCTCATTCAGGGATTATTTCCCAGTTTTCCTTGGGTGATGCTTGCCACAGGCTGTAGTGGAGAATGTGCTAGATCTGGAGTCATCTGTTCTGACCACAGGAGAAAGCCAGAGCCCTCTAGTGAAGGAGCAGTCCCGAACATTCTGTGATCAGAACAGTGGCGCTTTTCCCTCCACAACTGCTGAAGCTTCATGCAAAACCAAGTATTGATCACGGCCTGAGAGAAGGTTCTGGATTCACACACACACACACACACACACACACACACACACACACACACACTGTGCCTGTTGGAGTTCTGCTCCTTGTACTGGGACTCAGGTGACTGCGGCACAGAGGGCATGGGTGGCAGATCCTTCCAGGGGTAGAGGATGGGAGCTCCATGGTTACCCAGTAATGCAGGGGCTACTAGTGTCTGATCTCCTTCCCTGCGCTGCCCACAAAGCTTCCTGGGGCCACAGGAGGGAGATGCAGAGATGTTGAGGGCTGCAGCCACTCCTTGTCTGCTGACGTTTCCCTCCCAGCTGGGGAAGTTTCCATCCTTTTAGCCCAATGGGGAAGCTCTTTCTGAAGTACTGGCTGATTTTCCTCGCGGCCACCTGGTGGAGGGCGTGCGTGCATGCATGCAAAGCTCCCTACTCTCCTGTCCCTCTTTCTCCTTTTCTTCTTCATCCTTTCCCCCCCTCTTCCCCTCTTTTTCCTCCCTATCCTTCTCTTCTGCCTACTCCTCCTCTTCCTCCTCTTCCTCCTCCACTTGCTCCTCTTCCTGTCCTCCTCTTCCTCCTCTTTCTCCTCCCCTTCCCCTTCTGGCAGCCTTTCCCTGGGGAGTGTGCCATGAGGTGAAGAAGGGAAGAAAGATCTGGCGGAGAGAAATCCCAACAGACTAGAAGAAGGACAGGGATTTCATTGCTTCTTGAGCCAAAATCCCAGTGAGAGGGGCTGGGTAGAAATGCCGAGGCAGATCAGAGGGCAAGGTGGGGCGGGGCAGGCATCCTTGAGCAGGAAGATGGTTTTGGGCTAACAACCTGCAGCTGAGGGAAAAGACCGACGTCCACATCCAAGCTGGGTGTTAAATAGGAAAAGACAGTCTGCCAGACAGGGCTGAGGGGCATGCGCGGCTCCACCGCCTAGGAGAGGTGCTACTGGACACCCCCCCACCCCTGTCTCCTTGGCCTAGGAGGGGCTAAGGCAGGAACCCTGCAGCCACCTTGGTCTCGGGCTCTCACCTGCAGACCGTGAGGAAAGAGGCGTCTGCTGTTTGTCTCTGTCTGCAGTACTTATGGCCGCCCTAGCAACTGGCATGGAGAGCATCCTATGATGCGAATATGAGCAAATCCATGTTTCAGGATGGCCCGGAGTAGTTCTCCATGGGGCAAGGGACTAGGAAAGAGCAGTGGGTGGTGAGGGTCACTGCTGTGGAAACAGTGGAGGGGCAAGGGTTCTCCACCAGAAGGGATCCCTGGCACCACACGGATGGGTTGAGCATCCCTAATCCAAAATCTGAAACTTCCTGAGCACCAACTTGATGCCTTAAATGGCACTGTTTCATATATATTATTAGAAATAAAAATATCACACAAAATTACCTTCCAGGCAATTGGTATCAGAAATGAATTTCCTCTTGGGTTTCATCCCAAAATATCTCATGATATAGATGCAGATATTCCAAAATCCAAAAATATCTGAAGTTACTTCTGGTCTGGAGCATTTTACAATGTCCAACCTGAGTACAGAGCAGGGCGTTCTGGTGACAGCATTAGGTTTGGGCTAATTCTGCCCCTCCCCCCTGGGGGGTGCCTGTTCCCCTGTATTAGTCACGCTCCCATCACTGGGACAAAATTCCCAATTCCTGCAATTTAAAGAAGGAGAGGTTTATTTTGGTTCACAGTTTCTGTGGATTCAGTCAATGGTCAGCTAGCTGGCTCCAAAGCAAAAACAGCATGATGAAAGGGGCTAGGGGCTAGGATTGTTCACATTATGGAAGCCAGGAAGCAGAGAGAGAAGGGGGGCTGGGGAGGAGAATACACCTTTCCAAGTCACCCCCCAGTGAGACTCTGGGGGGCATTCTAGATCTAAACCATGATACTGTTCCATTCCAAGCAAACAACTGAATTCTAACTCCTCCTTCAAGCCGTATCTCAAATGCTACTTTACTTCATTTCAGACTGATTATTATACTTAAGATTAAATTCACCATCCTTGACATTTCTATAACTTTAAAAAAATATTCTTTATATATGATTTTTATTTACTAGTCAATTGAATGCAGTGATTTTACTATTGGCCACCAAATAGCACCAGATATTTTGCTAAATATTTCTGGGTTCAAAGAAAATGAACATGGCACCCCAGTAAATAGTTTCTGAACAAAACAAACAGTGGGTGTCTGGAGAGAACTCCACAGCCAGGCTCCCTGTCACCAGCTGAGAGAGTCACCTCCATAGTAAATGTTATGAGAAGGTCAGTCCTCAACTCTCCATCTTCCTACCTGCCTGTGCCCATGTGAGAGAGCTCAGTGCCTTCTGCTTTGGGAGCTGTGTTGTGTCTGAGGAGGAGAAGTCAAAGGCATGGCAGACAGCCACCCAGAGAGACCCCGATCTGCGGAGACTCTGGACAAACTTGGCCACGAGCATCTGTCGATATCCTTGAGGCAATGCATATGCTGATGAAAGATGATGTTAGTCAGGGACAATCAACTATAATACAGTGTGGAAAAGCATCAGAATGGGGAACAAAGGGTTCCGGAGGTGCCGGGAAAGGAAGGGGCATTAGGTTAGGGGAAAGTGAGACTTCACGGAGGAGGTGGCATGCAGCTGAGTGCAGAGTGTGCCAGAGGTTTCTGGGGCTGGAATGGGGCCCTGCGACGGGGACTGGGGCATGGAGAGCGCCCCCTTGTGCATGGGGCAGGGAAAGTAGGGAGGACGCCGTGGAGAGCACTGCATGCCGAGACCGGAGCTCGGGTGTCCACCACCGACCCACGAATTGCATGACACAGCTTCTTGCAATTGCCGCTGCATTCAGAATCCCAAGCTAAGTTGGGGTTGCAGTACCACAGCCACCAGCAACCGCCTTAATGGAAAATGAAGGGGGCTGGGTGTGGTGGTGTCAGGGAGCCTCTCGTGGGCTACTTCCGTGGCCTGGTGGATGGCCTGATACCAGGTTGTTGGACCCTCACACGGTCTCTTGCTGACCCGGGAACACCCCTCTGTGGCTCTTGTCTGACCTGGGTCCAGTTCCTGCCTGTGTGGCTGTCACTGTGGCCCTGGGGGCCCAGTCTCCTGTTCTTCTCATGTCTTGGGAAACCTGGGCCGGGAGCCCAGGGGAGCCCCTGGCTGTTCAGACAGAGTGAAGATTTGATGCATCACAGGAGGGAACGGGTTCAAAGCTGAGACTTCTACTTACAGATCCTGGGCAACCAGGGCATGACGCATCCAGAAGACAGTCCTTCCCTGGGTCACACAGATAAGAACAGGGAGAGGGAGAGAGAGAGAGACAGACAGAGAGACAGACGAGAAAACAGAGTGTGGGTCACTTTAAGTTTATGAGCAAACACCAACCGGTGTGGGCATGCACGGCTGTAATCTCAGCATTCAGTAAGCTGAGGCAGGAGGATCGCTGCGAGTCTGAGGACACCCTGGGCTACATAGTGAGACCCTGTCCCAAAAACGGTTCATGAGCAAATACCTGAATGGGTTTTCAAAAGTGATGCGAAGCTAGGGATAGTGACACATACCTGACATATAATCCTATTACTCCAGGAGGCTGAGGCAGGCGGACTGTAAGTTTGAGCCCACCCTGAGCAATTTAGCTAACTTATATCTCACAGAATAAAGACCATATCTCAAAAAATGAAGAAGGGCTATGGATGTAGCTCAATGTAAAAGCCCCAGGTTCAATCCCAGGACAGAAGAGAAGAGAAAGGAGAGAAAAAGAGTAATAGGAAAGCAGGGAGCCTCCAAGTTCTTATCTCTGGTCCTGGCTTGAGCCCTGCAGGTGTGGGGTAGAGCTGGAAACTATGAAGGGTGACCCAGCTCTGCTTCCGGCATGAGAAAGTTAGACTTGTGTTCCAAATCGCTGCCGAGGCCACCTTCATTACAACTACAAGGCTTTGGGTCCAAGGTGACGAGTGCATTCTGTACATGGTGGATGTCGTGCTCTGTAGCATTAGGACAACTTTTATCTCAGGTCATCTTTTCAACTATGTTTACACAGTCAACAGCCTAGGATGGCGGAGATGGCCGTTTCTATTGCATCAGAGGGCAGATTGTTTTCTGACCAGGATTATAAAAGCATATAAAAAATTATCTCCCTCTGGTGCAAAAGATGGGCAGATTTGCCAGTAACCCTCATGAAAATGGGAGTCCCTAAGCTCAAGTTTCTTGGCTATGTGTGCAAAATTCACCTGATTTGGAGGGTGAGGGGAACCGGTGTGAACATTCAGCTCATAGTTCCTGTAGTGCTGTGAGTGACAGAGTCCTTTGTCTCTGAGCTCATCCAGCATCCATGAGACTATGGCAGGCTAACTCATCAGCTTACAAATAGCATCAAATTCAGACCCTTCCTAGTTCCTGACATGCATGTACAGTTACATGTTTAAATATATAAGGAATAGTTAATATTACTAATAATTATACTTAGTAGAGAGATCATTAATAATTAATAATAATGTTATTAATACCAGTTTGTTATAATAACTGACACATTATTGGACACTTACCACTTGCTGGGCATTGCAAAATACCTCAAGCATGCCATCTCATTTAATTTCCTTTTTGTTTTGTTTTGTTTTCAGTACTGGGGATCGAACCCAGGACCTTGCGCTTTCGAGGCAGGCATGGCTAAATCCCCAGCCCTCATCTCATTTAATTTCACAAGAACACAGTGAACAAAGTAGGAGCTGTCATTGCTTCCATTCTCCTGATGAAGAAGCTGAGGTTTAGAAAAGAGGAAACTGCCCACAGCCATGTGGCTGGCATGGTGAGCCTGGAGAAAGCCCGCCTCTGTCTGCGGTAGAGGCGGCTACTCACCTTCCATTCCACCCCGTGGGTAGCACTGGGGAGATCTTGGGGTTGTTGAGAAACCAACCAGGGATCAGGAGGGAACAGAGCTGGAGAAGTCTTGGGACTGGCTATTTCCTGAATGCTTAGGCCTTCCACATCCGCATGTTGGAACCTGACCCCAGTGTGAGAGTTAGAAGGTGGGGTTTGGGGAGTGACTAGGTCATGAGAGGGGAGGCTCTGAGGAGATGAGTACCCTGCAGAAAGGGGCCTCCAAGAGTTCCCTCGCGCCTCCCATCCTGTGGGGACACAGAGAAGGCATCTGTGGACCAGGAAGTGGCCCTCACCAGGCACCAAAATCTGCTGGCCCCTTCATCTTGGACTTTCCAGCCTCAGTACGGTGCGAAGTGCACGTTTGTTATAAGAGCCCAAATGAATGTAGATGGAGTCACACAAGCAGCCACTATAGGAAAAGCCAGTTAAAGCAGAAAATTGGGGGAGAGCACCTCTGGGCTAGCCCAACCTCTTCCCTTACCCAAGGCATGTAAGTGGCCATTCATTCTCCCATCTCCCTTTTTTTTTTTTTTTTCCATACCGGGGATCGAACTTGGGTCCTTGCACTCGCGCAGCAGGCGGCGAAACCACGGAGCTAAATCCGCGGCCCCTCATCTCCCATTTTTTGATGTGAGACCAAGACGCTTTCTTTGTACCTAGGTCTGCTGAGTGGGCTTCCAAGTCACTGTTCTCAAGTAGCCACACCCAAAATGACCCCCCTGATAGAGTCTGGAGTGCTGAGACTGAGTAGGGCATCACTGCCGATTTGCTGCACCCTCGCCTCCCGTCCTTCGTCATTGCTTCTCCGCCCTAAGTAACAGCCCCATTCATTGATTCGTTTGTTTGCAGCAATAGTGTTCAACCTAGGAAGGAAGCAGCTTGCTCTCTGCAGCCATCTTTTGGTGAGTTCTGGGGCGTCCAATCCACAGTTACAGTAACTAGGCCAGGACGAACGGCCCGACTCTGGGAAGTGTGCAACTGAACTCAGCCGGCAGGCGCAGAGCTCGCGGTGCTCTAGAAGGTGAAGAGCGGATTGCAAGCATGCCGCTGACTGCAAGTGGCCATCTGGGTGAGAAGGGGCAAGGACACTGGGTTTCCCAGCAAAACCCTCATGGAGAACTTGTCCTTCACTGGGCTGCAGATAGTGGCTGAATCCACAGAAACTGAAGGAGGAAAGGCCAGTTACCCAAGCCTGGCCCTAAAATCTGCCCTCATTGCATTCTGCCACTGCATGTCATTACCAGGCTGGCCTCAAACTTGCAATCCTCCTGTCTCAGCCTCCTAGAGTCCTGCAGTTACAGGTGTGCACCACCATGCCCAGCTTCTTTTCAGTTTAACACACTAGCCCAGAAGATTCATATGTATGCATGTAATTGAAGACTCATCTAGATAATGTGGAAATTAAGCAGGATACTAGTAACTAGCAAACAGCCACTTGGCTTCTGTTAAGCAGAAATCCCCTGTTCTAATCCACTGTGCCGGCATGGGACTAGCCACTCTGTTCTGTCTGCATGGGAAGACTTATTAACCCTCTCCCCACACACACGACTAACAAAAAGTGTATTCACTGTTTTGAATTCTGACTTGAAAAGTGACATTTCACAGAATGCTGGGAATTCATCTTCACTCTCTACTGTGAGTTCTGCTTTTTCAAAACCACGGCATTCTCGTCTTCCTGGCTGCTGTAACAAACCCAGCAGGCATCTGTCTAAGCATTCTTGCCTGTTTAGGAGGAACATCAGTCCCTGCAAAATTAATCTCCAATCTCTTGCACATAAATACTTTCATTTATGGGAGCAAAGTTATACCCAAGTGCCATATCCACACTGATCAAATCTTTCTGAAGATAGTCTTACTTATGGCATGTTGTCTCTGTAGCTACTGGCCAACCAAGAAAAGAGAAAAAGTTGTTCATGAAGGTTCTTCATTGCATTCATTCTGCTGAAAAGTAAATTATAATCCTGGGGTGGGGTGGAAGACCCACGCTGGGTGGCCTGTGTTCCTCTTCCTCCTTCTCCAGCCCCTTCCTGTGTGCAATTTTTATTAATATTTATATGATCATCTCAGAAACATAGGCAGCTCACAAGGACCGGTCACCTGCTTGACATTTACTCCCCCACCCCGGTGCCGATCTGAAGTCTTAAAAATAACCCTAAATCATATGAATTATACCCAACTTTAGTGCACACCTTCTAAATGAAGAATCTGCCTTTCAGAATCACCTGAAAATTTAAACCACAGAAACCCTGGTCCTACTCCAACTCCTGCTGCTTCAGGGCCAGTGACCTGGGGTCTGGTTTTGGTTTTCCAAAGCCCCCCAGTCCCAACATGATTCTGACTTGCGAACCACCTTGCCTGAAAGACTTCATAGAACAGAGCTCTAGTTCTTTTAGGTAACTTGAACGTATATAGCATTTGTTTTTTGGGGGTTTTTTGGTACCAGGGATTAAACTCAGGTCCTTGCGCTTGTGCAGCAGGCAGTGAAACCACTGAGCTAAATCCCCGGCCCCAGCATTTGTTATTTCTGATTTTTTGAGACAGGATCTCACTGTGTTGTTCAGGCTGCCCTTGAACTTACTATGTAGCCCAGACTGGCCTTGAACTTGCAGTGATTCTCCTGCTTCAGCCTCACTTATGCTGGGATTATAGCTGTGCCCCACCATGTCTGACTTCAGTGTACAACATTTAAATCTGGTTGCTCTTCTTCATATCAACTACAGATGGCCTCTGATTTGTGGTGTTTTGACTTGTAGTTTTCAACTTTTAGATGGCACAAAAGCTATGAGTATTCCGTAGGAACCGTGCTTCAAATTTTGAATTTGGAGCTTTCCCTGCACTAATGATGTTCCTTTCAATCCTTTCTGGTGCTGTGGGACAGCAGCAGCCAGTGGCAGCTGCCGGTCAGGCCTGTGACCACCAGGAAGCACCCCTCTGCAGTGGACTGTGTTGCTGAAGTGTGGTGTTCTGAAGCGGGGGTGCAGACAGTGCGATTTCCATAGAAGCAGGGTCCATGCACAGTGGGCTGGCCCTGTCCTTCCTGCCCCACCCCCCAGCCACAGCTGGACTCAGGGATGTGTTGGCATGACTACCTCACCGTCCTGAAATTATTCAAAACCTTTTCCTTTCATGGTCATTTTGACTTTGGGGGAGAGCAGGAAGTTCATTGTGGGTGAGGACACAGCATCATGTTTTTATCAGCTGCCTTTCTGTTGAATGGTGCTGGGCTGCATTCACCATATATTGGATCACAGTTTATGAAGACATTCACGAAAGAGGACTTCCAGAACTGCTCCAGAAAGTGTCAAGAATGATGGGATAAGTGTGTCTGAAGCAAAGGGGAGGATTCTGAGGGCGATTTATGGCACTGTGTCTTTTACTGTAATAGATTTCATAAAATGTAAACAGTCGCCATATACTTGGATCACACCTCTTACAATGTGTAACAGTCCTAGTTGAGCAGTTAGCACATCCACCAACCTCCAGCATTTTGCAAAGCTGTCTGGGCAGAGGGAGCTAGATGCTGGCACTCGCTCCCCCCAGGAAGCCGCTCCTTCCCCTTTTCTTTCTGCACCAGAGACCAAAGCCTGCTCTGGCTAGGCTAGGCGGAAGGTCAGGTCCCAGGCTCCTACAGGAAACTGTCCCTGCAGGAGACGCTACTGATTCTCCAGCTGTCCCTAACACGGAAGCTGTCTGTAAGTGACGGAAGTTGCCCCTTCCTCTCCTTTTAAACTGCCCAGGTGGATTCTACCCCACCCTTATCCCCTGCAATCCTCAGATCATAGGTTCCATGCTTAGAAAAGTCACATTAGCCCTCCATGGGAATCGCTCTGACTTGTGGAGATTTGGAGCAAAGATGTTCAACACAGAAAGTGAGCTTTGGGATGTGTCCCTCACATCCTGCACCCATGGGTGTCTGAGCTATCTGTGCACAGCAGGCTTGGGCTGGTGCCACGAAGCATCGCCCCTGGGGAGCAGGCGGGTGGGGCGGGGCTGCCAGAGTCCTGCAAACCCACAAAGCAGCCCCAACCCCCAAAGCTGAATTTCTGTGGTCACTAGTAGCTGCCTGTTTTATTTGCTTTGCTTTTGTTTTTTAAGGAAGCAAAGAGAGAAGAAAAGGAAAAAAATCTCCACACTCAATGATAAGGATATGTAGCAACCAGACGCATTATGGACCCCATAGTCCACATTTCTGTCTTCTCTTTCAGTCAGTGCTGAATGTTCTCTGAGGCTTCACTTCAGAACCAAGCAGGTGGAGCGAAGGGTGTTCGTGTGGTGAGCGCAGTTCCTCTCTGGTTTCCTGTTGGCCCTGCGGGGTGAGACTGCTGTCACCTCTGCTCCCGCCCTCCGCCCTCTGCCTCCACAGTCATCTCTGCCTCTGTCTCTAGTCCGGGGTAACTGGGTCTCCTTCCTGCCTTCCCTGCCCATCTCTTTGTGTGCCCAAGCTGTCATCCTTGCAAGCAGCAGATGGCCAGGCCAGAACAAGTGTCCCGCAGCAGACAGAGCCGGGACAGGGTCATGCATGCTGCCCCCCGGGGAGGGGAACCACACAAGACCCAGGTGGGATGCCTCTTCATTCGGGTTCATTGAGGAATGCCTGTGTCCTGACTGGAGGTGGCTTCCGGCCTTCCTCTCTGTGCCCGGACCTGACTGGGACTTGGGTCTTCTCCATGCTACCTCCTGTTTCATCGTCTTTGCTTTGCCCATAGGAATAAAGAAGAAAAGGAGGAAGATGGCAAAGTATGGAGCAATGGTGTCAGTGACATGAGCTGAGGGACCTCATGTCCCCCAGAGCCAATGTCTGCATTTTTTGAGCCTTGCTTTGGATAATGTTTGTGTGTAACTATCTTTAATTTTACTTTTTAGAGATCATCAAATGGAAAAGTACGTGATGTTTATCTATCCTGGTGCCCACAAAGGAGTCAATCATGGAGACATAGACATGGAACTCTAGGGACTGAATCTGGGAGGGGATAAAGTGCTCCTGAAGCCGCAGGACCTCAAACCTGTAGGTCAGAAACCAGTGTCACGTGATTTCTACCCTAACTTTGACCTTAAATTTAAGCCAGTTCCTTCAGATCTAGCCTCAATGTCTGGGCTAGGAGAAGTGAGAATGACTTTGAAATGTAACACAGAGGCTTTTTACAGCAAAAGTAAGCAATGCCGAGTAAATGATGTGTCAGTCCTGAGCTGCAGTTGTTCCATAAATTTACTTCCAGCCACAGCAGCTGTTGAAGTTGTCCCCATTTTGCAGAGTTAGAAACTGAGGCCTTAGAGATGCTTTGTGACTTGGCCAAGGTCATCTAATTACCAATGAGACTCAGTATTTGAACCTAGCACTCTGAATCTAAAGCCTGCCTGTCATCACCATGACATCATTGCTCTTTATGTGAGAAAGTGATTATATCAAAATGTAATTATCAGGGCCAGGGATTTAGCTCAGTGGTTTTGCTGCCTGCTGTGCAAGCTCAGGGACCCAAGTTCGATCCCCGGTACCAAAAAAAAAAATGTAATTATCATCCATCGTCGTGTAGCACGTTATGATAGCCCACAGAACTGACAGCTTGCTATGTGTCCGCGAGGCACACCATGCTGTACATGCACTGCCTCTTTCAGTCCTATTAGCACCCAGCAAGCAGGGTGCTACAGCGGTCCTGGTGTTTTGGAGCAGATCCAGGGCTCAGCAAGTCTGGGTGACTTGCCTGAGGCTATGGAGAAAGTCAGTGCTGAAAACAGGCACACACCTGGAGCCTTAAGTCCCAAGAACTAATGAGGAAGCTAATCTCATGCTGATTAAACACAGCCTTCCTTCTCAGCCTGTGTTCGAACATGTCTCATGTCTGAGACAGTCAATTTGCAGTGTAGGCATTGAGTTTCTTGTCTTGGACCCCAGGAATCCAAATGGCCGATGTAAAGGTCAAACTCATTTCTTTGTCCCAGGTAGCTCCCTGCGTAACTCATTACCTAAAGGGGGTCTTAATGCATGGAGTTGAGTCATGAGTCTATAGATTGTTCCTGAACTTCCTAGCTGTCCTTCTTTGCTAAGGCATTAGCTGAAACACCTCTGCCTCTATTTTACACTGTCCCAACCAACCTGGACTGACTCAGTCTACATCACAAGGCCATAATCTTGTTCCCTTAAGGAAAAGACTCTTTTTATCAGAGTTACCTTCAGTTGATGTGGTCTCTGTAAAATAAGATTAACTCTAGGCCCCTGTGTCCAGCGTCCTGTGAATTCACCATGTATGTGTGGTGAATCTGGAAAAAAAAAAAAGCCAACTCCTGGACGTAAGAGAACCATGGGACAATGTCACAGGGCTACGGGTTCTTCCCCTGCCTCTGAGAGGGTTTGTTCAGGCGGTGCTCGCCTGTGCTATTGCTGCTCAAGATACCAGCCCAACTCAGTGATTCCAGTGGCCACCACTGCATTATGCTTCTGGGCGTTGGGAGCTAGGTATTTGGAAAAGGCACAGTGGGGATCATTCTTCATTCCTTGATGCTGAAACCTTAGCTGAAAAAACTCAAAGGCTGAGAGGTGAGGCTGGGGCTGACATCATCTCACGGTGTGTCTTAGTCCTTTGTGCTGCTGTGACAAAATCAGCAACAGAAATACTGACAAAGAGATAGAGACGGAGAGAACGGCGTGGCACTGGGAAACAGTTATGTCACAGGCAGGCAGTTGTATCAGTGAATTCCCTTTCTAATAAATAATACTTTTAACCGAGATCCCGTCGCTTGTGATCATGAGGTCCTCAAACTTACTAGATATAAGCAACACCTGACAGTGTGGATTCTGCCAATCGCATGCTAGCCTGAGATCATAAAGAAAAGGTTACAGGTGGCAAGGAAGACTGAAGCATATCGAATTCCTCAAAAATGGAAACTTTCTTTGTTTTCTTGTGGTGCAGATTCATGCCTTCATGTTCATAGCTGTTATTTGGAAGATGTGTACAATGTTATGTACTGAGGGTCCATCTCTGCCCTGAAACAGGATGCACCATGGGGCTTGAGGCCCAAACCCGGCTCCCACCAGCACCAAGGCTGCTCCAATCAGCTGGGACTTCCAGGGCCACCACTGCTCTAATGAGGCCCCTCCGCCATTCTGAGCCACTTTGCTCTAAAACGGTTGCTTTTCATAAAAACCCTTATTTGCCTTTTCTCCCCCTCTGTGTCATTAAGTTTCACTGTACTTGAAGAGACTGGTATTAAGGGAGGCATTTGAATTTTGGTACATGTATGCATTTGCTGACTCAATAGTATCAGAGAACTGATTTAATATTAAGGTTATGGACACAACTCACAGTTATGGCTTCTCTGGGACTATCGATTACTTGTTTTCTTTTTTGAAAATAGAGACTTTAAAATTTTATATATACATACATACAGTGCTATGTTTATATGTGGTATATAAACATTTGCATAAAATAATAGCACCAAGATTTTTAAACCACATCATTTTTTAAAAGCTTATAACAGCAAATCTCCTGAGTTTGCTGCTCTAAAATTTCAACTTCTTAAACTGAGTTATGATGCTTCATATTTCTAAATAATATGACCTTTCTACTCTTTATCATTTGAGACATTATCTTTCGACTTCCCGATGCAGTAGATGAGAATATTCTGTTAGCCCCCTGCCCCCGCATTTTTGTCTCAGCCCATCCTACCAAAATGCCACAGCTCTTTTAACCTTACTAGGACTATGTCAGTGTTGCTCACCACCGAGCTGAGAAGGGTAATATAATATGGTTCCCTTCTTGAACAACTGTTTGTTCTTCCTGGACCTCACCGTGTCATTTTGTTTCCTGCTTGTGCTTTCTATGTTCCCATATTAAATATTTTTCCAAGTACACCATCAACTCCACCAGGTTCTCAGGATATTACTTTTCAGTGGTTCAAATGCATTAATGAATAGTCAATTCCATTTTTCTCTCTGGAGCCCTCCCTTCCGGAAACCTCAGGCTTCCTGTCCCAATCTAGGCTGATTGTTCCATCAGCCTGCTATACAGCTATCACCTACAGACTTTCCTTCACCATGGGCTGTGGTGTTAGGAGGGTTTTCTGCCTCTCCTTCCGTCGCCTGGGCCTGCTGGCGTCACAGTTGATATAATAAGATGCTGTGGCCATTTTGGTGAAAGGTCTTCCCTAACTAGGAACTCTAGCAAAAAGTGACTTCTCTCTTCTAATGTCCATATTCCAACTCTAAAGCAGGCCTCTGTGTGGCTCATTGGTCCCTTCTTGGCTGGAAGCGATGAATCCTCTGATAGTTTCCATGACTACCATCTCCTTTAGGAAGACGGGACCAGGGAAGAGTGGGTGTTCTCAGAACGAAGGGGGCCCATGGACTCACTCCACATTACAGTGATGGACCAAGAAAAGACAGATGGAGGGGCATTAACTGGAGGATCAAGGCTCTGTTCTTGGTTGTACCTACTAAGTAGTTGCGTGGCCAAATCGATTGGCCTCTGTTCACCTCAGTGTCCATGCCTCTAGGTTGATGTGTTTGTATAATCCAGGATTCTAAGATCTTCATTTTGTCCAATAAGAGCTTATGAAACAAAGGATGCCCTGACTTGGACCTAGGTTCAATCACAAAACAGTAACAAAAAATGAAAGTGGAACCAGGAAGTAAATGGTCCAAAACAACAGTTAAGATTGATTAAACTCTGACCATGGGTGGGCCAGACACTGCGGAATGCTTTATTTGGATATCAGCTCTTTAACTGCTAAAAATCCTTTGATGTTCTCTGGTGGATTCATTTCAAGGTATTGTGTTTCATCTTTGTGCTTTAGTTTTGTCTGTAAAATGGAAACCGCACTCTAACCTACTTCATGAAGATTAGATGACAGGATGCTTGTAAGTATTGAGAAGTGAATATAATAAGCATCCAATATACATCAAAATTATTATTAGCTATTCTTGTTGGTTTTCTCCATGGTGGGCACGTGAGGAGAGAAAGAACCCTGCTCTCTCTGCTCAGTTACCCCTTCTTCATCCTCCTTCCCACATTGCATTGTAATTTTTTGTCTACTAATATTGCCTCTTTGATTTTCTGTGTCCTTCCTTAGTTTCTCTGATCAGTTTCCCAAGGAAAAGGTGATGAATGTACTTACGTAGTCTGCCACTGTTAACCACTGTCTACCAGCTCTTTGCTTTTTGTAATTAATTTCATTTCCTTTTTATATTGTTGCATCTAACTCCTGTCATTTCTAAAAGGCTCACATACTTTAATTGTGAGAGCTTTCTTTTCCTCATCAGTAGAGTATGAATAATGATACGTAAAGTCTCCAGCATGGTGTCTGGAACATAGGCAGGGCTGAATATTCACTACGGGGGGCCCATCCTTATCTTTTATCCTATTACATCTCATGTTTTCCACACTAAATTAGCTTCATTCTGAAGCGGGCAAGGCGGTGGACCCAGTGGGTCTCCTCGAGTGTACCAACAGACATTGGGGAACAGGTAGAATCCAGGAGGACAAAGCATGAGCAGACATAAGTGCGTTCCTGTGGAGCAGCATTAAACCATGTTGAAGGTAGCAGTGACATGAGTGAGTGACATGAGTGAGGGTTCTTTGCTGGCATGTTGTCCAGGAAGGTTAGCTCACACCATGACCTGCACTTGTCATGGCCCCATGCAGTCATTCATTCATTTATTTGCAAATATTTATTACATTACTGCACTGTGCCAGGAGCTAGGATACCTCCATGAGCAAGATAGATGAAGTCTCTGCTTCCATGAGTGCCCATTTCCACTGCAGTAGGGGAAACAGCTTTGCCTAACATCTGAGTCCTATTGAGTATTAAGCCAGCCCAACAGCTGTCCCTGACTTCCTTCTCCATTGCTGTTTCCAGCCCCACAGTGGAGACTGCTAAAGCTAAGTCTTTCCGTGTCAGTTTCCCCGGCATGCATAGTCACAGGACTCCATTCAGAGTCTGCTGGGGGCTTCCAGAAGGAGTTTGCTTTCTCGGATGGAAAGGATGACATGGCCAGAGCTGCCCCTTCCTCTCCATTCTCCTCTGAACTTAACAGGACAAACAATGGCCCTCATGCTGGAAGAGTAATAATAGCTGAGAAGCAGAACCCCATCCTGCCTCTGGACCTCCTGTGGCCTCATGCCTGTATTTGTTTCATCCACCGTAATTTAGGCTTATTTAGTCATAGCTGGGAACGTTGTTAATGAACGCATCAAAATCACAAGGAAGCAGGGCACGGTGACACACGCCTGTGATCCCAGAGTGCAGGAAGCTGAGCCAAGGGAACAACCTGGACTATGTATTGTGACCCTGTCTTAAAAAAAATAAGAGCATTGAATGTAAACCCTTTTCATATTTTTCTCCTTCTTGAAATGAAGTTTCAAAAGGGTAACCAAATGGAATATTTTTTCTAAAACTTGAATGGCCGTTGGCTGCTCATTTACTTAATATTATTGGCAGAACAATAAACTTCTCTCACTCAGGGATCGTTGTGGATTAGCGACCCAATCTGGAAGCTATTAACAAAAAATCCTTTAAAGTTTTTCAAAACAAGGTTATTCAAGCTCAGTTGGCAAAATAGGGCTTTGGCAACTCCAAGAATTGTAACATGAGCAGAGGAGCAAGAATGGAACCCTAACAGAAGAGCTGGAAGAGTGGGAAGATGCCTATAAGCATCTCATGAAAGGACACAAACCTCGCAGACACTCGGGCATAATCAGTTCTCAGGTCCTTTAGGCTCGGCGAAAGGCCATGTCTGGTGTCTAGAATGTCCCCCCAAAGCCTCGTGGGTTCTAAGGTGGAGCTTTTGCGAGGTGATTGGATCTTGGGGGCGCGGGACTCCTATGCGGCCGGGAGGAGGGGCCTGGTCAGAAGAGGTGGTCACCGTGGGTGTGACCTGGGAGGGTACGTTGTCCCCCGCTCTCGCTCTGCTTCCTGGCTGCCTTGGGTAGCACCTTTTCCTCCGCTATCCCCTCCCACTGTGCTGTGTCTGCTGAGTGAGCCACACCATTGAGTTCTGGGTACTGGGGACCGTGCCTGAGATACGTGTTCCCCGCAGGGTGAATGCTCCCAATGGGCAAGAATTGCTTTCACTTTTATGAGTGGTTGAAAAGTGATCACAAGAAGGATACTATTTGGTGACTTGTGAACATAGAGAAAATGTGAATTTCAGTATCCTTATTGTTGTATTAATGCACCAGCTCTGCCCACTCACTTACAAATTATTTACAGCTACTTTTTGCCATAGCAGCAGTAGAGCCGAGTGGTTGCCACCCAGGGCATATGGCCTGCAAATCTCAA